GTTGCTGCACCATTTGTGTTCCACTATCAGTTAAAGTGTTGTGGCACCATCATCGGAATAAATGTAAAATACCGGCACAACCAATTTCCTTCGAAATAGTAGAGATCCACTTTTATAACAAGGGAAACAAATGCATTGACCCATTTGTGCATGTGCGTGTTGTGCTCATCGGTAGTTAGGAAGCAGAAGCACCTGTTGTGGGAGAGGCTGCCGGTTTCAAAGCCGCCCAAAATGCAGATCGACGCATTGAAATGCACAGCACGCAGCGATGCGTTCAGGGAACGTCGAGAAAAGTAGGCCAGAAGACGCACACGGAGGAGGAGGACCTCCTGCACCCTCATCCTGTATATTCGGGCGTGTTGTGTTTTTCATTTTTCAGCCTTCTGTGGAATAAAATGCTGAAAAAAAATGTGTGGAAACATCTGGAATCCTTTTATTAACTGATATCATCCAGAAACGGAAACACGGGTGTCGTCGTTTACAGAGGAATGACGAGTCGGAAACAACAGCACCCGATGAAAACCTTCATTGTACGATTCACCATGTCGCGATTAGGAAGCGTAATGAACTGGCAAAAAAAAAAAAAAAAAGACATTTTTCAAGAAAAATGCTACAATCCGGAAGCACGGCGTTATGTGCTAAGCTAATGTTAGCAGCGGGAAGATTCGTTTGCGATTTAATGCTTATTTTTTCAAAAGCGTCACTTGTGCGTGGTAGTAAAGCTTACAGGTGCGGAGTATGACTTAAAACCACCCATTCATGATGTCATGGAAATGTTTGAGGCTGTATTGTAAGACTTTTGTGCTACAACATGACAAATGTCAATTTATCGACGGGGCGCTAATATGTTAGCATCGAGTTGCTGGTGTACAATTTCAAGCATTCTGGTGTTGGTTCGGTAGTTGTTGCATTTTCTGTGTTGAAAAGAATATTTAACTTGGAGCAGCCTCAAGATAATTAGACCTACTTGGACCAATGTATGCTACAGAGAGGAGGTAAAACGTCAAGCTAGCGAAGTTTGAGATTCATTTCCAAGCTTGAATCGCCAAAAAGTGGAACAATGTCATTGCTTAACCAAAGCCTCGCGATATACAATACAAGCAATACAATTCGTTAAGACTCAGTTAAGATACACAAAAACAGTTCACAGAGCATAAATAGCATGTAGCATAACGGCTAATAACCACCAATGTGAAAACCGACCGGAGAATGATGACAAAGTGTGTTTTAAAATTTTGCATTGTGTCTTTACAGAGTGAGTACTTTTGCTTCGTTTAAATAATCGGATACGGTCGACGGCTTCCTTTTTTTCCAACACTCGTGAGACATTTCAAAGTGTTAAAATGCTACATTGCCAGTGCGGTTAGCTTTCGCCGGAAGCGTGATTAGCCTGCATCCCGTTTTTAGTCACCACTTGATTCATGAAGGCACTGGTAGTGAAGACATCCAATGACAAGTGTGCATCGTTATTCGGATTTCACTGCTATGACTTGTTGACACATTTATACGGGTGAGACAAAAAAAAACATTCAGTACATTACGATATTAAAGTGTTTTGGATATGATACCGATAAAGCTGCATTTCGATATTCCTTGATCGTTCGCTGTTGTTTTCCAGTCAGTCACTTCATTAGGTACACCAGTGAATACATTTCTCAGAAATTGAAGACAGAGCGACCATTTTGTTGGCCCACGTCAAGTTCTCGAGCAGAGTTACGAGCGCACAAAATTTCCCACATTACCCAAATAAAATTGTGACTTGTGTTGTAGGCACAAATAAATGACGAACGACCAATCGCAATGAAGTTACGTACTTGTATTGGATCAGGTGTAGCTAATGAACCACTGAGTTAACAAAATCTTAGCTCTGCTAATATCGCTCATTAGCATAAGCTAAAGGCACAGCTAACCCTGCGCTACGTTATGGACATTCTTGGAGATTTTTTTTTTTGTACATTTCACAGATGTAGTCATGGTATTGCCAAGTGCCACGCTGTCTTTGGTCATGCGAAATATACAGACATCGATGTTCGAAACGCGACGGTTGGCGACGCAAAGACAAAGAAAAACGCAGTCAAGCACGAGTAGCATCTGCGCCGTCCAATTAAAAGATGACAAAAGAGAACGAACTGACCGTGTGGCGTGAGTGCGACATTCAGATGCTAACTACGAACCCGCAACAATTTTTCATTCTTGTGAGCACTTCAACAAAATTGTGCTGCTGTAGTGGTCCGCGACAGTCTGATCGCTTTCGTCGAAAATATTCGCGGGGTGTTGACGTTGTCGCTAAAACTACATAATCTACTCGGAAATTTCAGAAGGCCACCTCGTAAAATCATTCCTCTCAAATAGATTCAATTCCCGATACCTTCACTGGAATCGTAAATCATAATCCCGGCCTGGTCGAAAAGTATGCAAGTGCCATCCAACCGAAAACTTTTAGCTGGCATTCACAAGCAAACAAAAGTGTGCGAACAAAACGCTTGTTCGGTTTCAATTTTTAGCCCGAATGGTGAACAAAAAGGGCGCCTGGAAAGATCATTCCACAGTTTTGCTCAACAAATTCCATTTCCGATGTCACAGTCCAACGCTTTGCTACGCTCAAACCGTAAGTCTTATTTTTTGCCATTTTCACACAACACTTATAAGCCCCCGTCCCCCCTTATCGTATTATCATCCCTCTCGAGATCGTCACGATCGGTTGGTTAACAAATTCATTCTTGGCCGCAAACTTCTGAAACTTCCAGGGGCGGATATTGTGTGTGTGTGTGTGTGTTTTTTAATATTATATAATAAATAACTTTGTCCATACATTTATATGTAAACCCCACCGGATATAATAAGTGACCGGCTTAAGTTTAGAATAAAAAAAACATCAAACATACAAACAGTATATTCTGATTTTTTTTTTTTTTTTAAGTAAACAAGTCTGATACGACTCCATCGAGTATGATGAAGCTCCAGGCCGGGCCCCTTGCAGCATGAAAGTTTTGACTATAGGGGGCGCCACAAGGGCATCACATTCCCCGGTGCAAAAAAAAATTACCACGTGGCGGCATCAGATGGTGACGCGAAAGGACTCCCAGCTGTCATCTTTGCCGACCCCCGCGTCGTTTTTGCTCGCTTCCTCCGCCCCGATGCCGCCGCTGTCGGGGTGCTCGCCGGTGGGCGTGGCGCCCGGCTCGGCGTAATACTCATCGTCCTCGTCGAAGTAGCCGTTCTCCATCATGCCGAGGCCGGAGGCGGCGCTCAAGTCCTGGCAGCTGCCCTTGTACTCCTGGATGGACTCGTGCAGCGACCAGAGCTGACACAGCAGCGACATGTCCTGTTGACGCAAGCCCACCTGGAGGGCGGCACCCACAAAAACGAAATACTTTGGTTGCTCGATCTTTGCTTTCATACACCCTGTAACCTGATCACATAATTAGTTGTCCACTGGAGTGATCGCTGTCCCTGAAAGGGTTATTTCAAATTTGAAGGCACTACTAAAAACGCTCCGTTGTTTAATTTTACTCTACGGTGAGCTAAACTTGTAATCACGTTTTAGTACAAAGCTAACCAGGAGAGATGCTTAGGACACAAAGCATGACAGCTTTTATTATCCGCTTTAAAAATGTTGTTGCTCAAGTGGAAAAGAAATTTCGGACTTTTAATGCCAGCACAAAAATAAATAAATAAATAAATAAATAAATAAATAAATAAATAAATAAATAAATAAATAAATAAATAAATAAATAAATTTACAGAATTGCCAAACCTAAAAAAAAACCCCAAACAAATTCCAAAAAAAAAAAACAGTACGGCCAAATCTGGGTGATTTAGCAAACTAGCTAGCTTTTTTTCCCGTGTTATATTTGGTCTTCTCTAGACTACTGCTAGCAGGAATATATTTTGTCGCTCATGACATTTTTTAATGCTGGTATAAAAGGGACTTTTTTTGTTGTCATGAGTGGTCACACTTTTTTTGGCATACCCACCAAGCAAATGTTGGATGCGTTAGGTCATGTCGCCATTTAGACCCAAGTAAACCGAGTTCATAACTTGGCACAGTTTATTCAGACCCAACCAGTTTGCCGCGCGGAAAGTTTGCCATATAAATCAGTCGACTCTTTCAAAGTAAATACCGCGCTCTGTTTGTTGAACTAGCGACAGCGCTGCTGTCATCTTGCTTTTGTTTCTACCCGTCTGACGGTGTGAATCAAAAGGGAGCTTTGTTTTCTTGTACTTTTTTTTTTTTAATGACAGGTAATATGACACAGGCTAGCCTGAGCGCCACGTTTCAACGTTACTTTGCCCGCTTGCCATCCAGCCGACAAATGCGCATTGTTTGACCCGAGGTCGACCGTGTTTGCCTGAGTCAACAAATCACCGGCGTGCTAGTCGGGATTTGCTCGAATCGCTATCAGTAAACTGGGGAGTGACCACTCAAGAGTGCGGCCGTGCGCCAAACAGATAAAACCTAAATAAGAATTTTAGCAGCGCTCGTATCCTGCGCCCCTGGCAAAAGAGATGATGTTTTCCATCAAGTGACCGATTGTTGTCGGCGGAACTACCGAAGACGACTTCACGAAAGCCGGTCTTGGCTGCTGATCGGGAAAAACCTGGGCCGCAGGCAAGGAAGCGAAGCGGTGGGGTGTTCTATTCGACATGTCAAGCATTCTATTGTGCGCGATAAAAGCATGCCAGGTCAAGTTGATCATGGTAATTGTACAACAATTGCATATTCAGAAGAGCTCGAGGCTTCACTTGCGTCGACGAATGCCATACGTCATTTAGAAAACATACAAGTTTGAAACTTGTAAACAGACATGAATTTAAATGCTAGCCATCAAGGACTCCTGTTTTCTGCAATAAAAACTCTCTCTGTAACAGTAATTAGGGACCCTCCGTTATGGATATTTTTTGGGATTTGGCAGAATAAAATTCTGTCCAGTTTAAAAAAACAAACAAACAAACAAAGAATGAATCAAGTAACTTTGTTTTTGGTCTCTTAACGCTTACACCAATAAAGATATGTTCCACAAGCAGAACAGTTGTTTTTTTTGTTATTTATTTTTTGTTTAATTTTACAACCTAAACAAATTGGCCGTTCTATTTGTTTATTTATTTACTTATTTATTCATTTGGAGGAGAGGGGGTTGAATGTTCTTACCTTTGTATTATGTTGGAATGCAAAAAAACAAAAACAAAACATAATCGTTTGCCCATTTTAAAGCCAATAATTTAAATCGACCAATTAATCGGTTGGCCCCCAAATATTTTTGACTCACTTTAAATCATGTGTAAATCGAGAGTTGACCAACTATACATTGGCACTTTTAAAAGTTGCATTTTGGCTTGTTTCAGAGAATGAGCTGCACATTAACCACATTTGTCAAACGACTCCAAAATGGACAAATGAAATCAATAATTGTGTTTGGGCTACGTTTAAAAAGCTTTGTGATATAAAAATGTTTCTTGAGGGCGTCTGGCATTTAAATCACTTGGCAGTCACAGAATCACAGAAGACAGTCAGTTGCAGGGGGCTCGAAAGAGATTTGAAAGTTGCCATTTGTTTGGATCGAGGTCGTCAACTGCACACAACGTAGAAGCCGAATTTACCATTCAATGCCACTAATAGCAAAAAAAGATCACGTAAAGCGATGAGAGGGTTGTATAAATAAACAAAGCGCGAGGTGAAATCAAAATACGTGTGATAATCAAGGGAGTCTGCCTCCACAACGTTACCATCTCTTTCCGCAGCAGAGCCAGGGCGGCGTCAAGGTTGGCCGGTTTGCTGGCCAGCAGGCTGTCGGCGTTGTTGCGTCCTCGGCTTAGGTCGTCCTGGATCATCGTCTTCTTCATGTACATGCGCTCCATGTCCCTCCAAGAGCCACCGCTCGAGTTGAGCAAACCGCTCAGGCTCTTGGGCAGCGGCGGCAGCCCGTCGATACACGCCATTCCGCCCGCCGAGCCGTTGGCCGACTTCCCGTTCATGGCGACGTGATTACAACCGAGTCGAAGGTGGCAAATGTCACTTTTATGAATTTCACCGACGGGCGCTTTGTGTTTTAGAGAAGAAAGCTACTGTTAAGTCCTACAAAATAACCTAAGTGCGATAAACTACACGTCGCTCCGACGCGAACAGTGTCGCTAGTCTCTCGTGTTGGCTCCTGCTGCCGACGCCATGTCAAGTCCAACTGGGGGGAAGGAGGAGCACTTCCGGTGTACGCTTCACACGTCAGAACCGTCCAGCAATATACGCACTAGTCAAATAATATGTTAACGTATGTATGTTAGCTATTCTTTCACAGTAAGTAACTTTAATTAGTCAATAAAATGTCCCGCATCCGTGTGATTAACTTTGCGAGGAAATTAAAGTACTTCGGGATTTTATTTTGAAGTCAACTTTTCGGCCTGTTCTTGTTGGTTCCGTTAAAACTGACGCTGCAACAAAAGTCAACTTCCTGTGCTTTTAACATTAACTGCAGAGAAAAAAAAAACGGTTTGAAATTTGTTTTTCTTATTCTTTATAATGTTTTTAAAGGGGCTTGTTGTCAATTGTAAATTCCCAGCACACTTGAACACACCTGATGAGGGTGCGGTTCCGACCAGGTGGTCGCCTTCCTTCTGGACAAGTTTCGGCAAGCAGTTTTGCCGTCATAGTTTTCAAAGAACCACAAAACATTCTCTCGCACAGACTCCAGGAAGAAGGTAAAACAAAGAAGAAAAGACTGCTTCATAAGTTAATAATTCAACTAAAAGGTTCACTCTGACTTCGGGACATTTGCTGGTTTGTCGTACGTTGTTGGCGTACTCTGTCACCGGACTCCTTAAAATATTCGCTTATTTTGTCTGGTTTTATTTTCAAATGTTCAAATTAGCATAAATGAGACTTAAATGATAAAACAAGAATAATTGTTACAATTCGGGGCCTAGGCCGCCTAGTTTGTCCATCACAACATGACAGAATGTTGTCGAAGATGTACATGTGTTCGTCTTATGTGCCTGTGACGCAAGGAAAGCAAAAATGTGACTTGGGTTTGATATTATCACAAATCAGAAAAAAAGATGTTATGTGTTTAATTGACGGCGGCGACAGTTGTTAAACCGAATAAAGGTTGTGAAATTATGGAGCAAAATCTTTGTTGTCCATTGAAGAAGGCTGGACTTGTCGCAAGATGGCGGCATTGCGTCGGTTAAAAAAAAGACTTCACAGGTATAATGACAGACCCAAGTTAATTTTTATTTTTCTGACTTTCTGAAAACGAGACAAAATAATTACGTCTCAAGTTCTACAAAGTATCACTGCATGAAATATCAACTCAACTCAACTGTATTTATAGAGCACTTTCAAACAGCCATCGCTGCAACAGATAACTGTATTTTTCAGATGAGCTTACATATAAGAGACACGGGAGCTTGTGTCAAATTGTGAAAAGCGCAATAAATCTCATTTAAAACACAGAAAAAGAAGAGCTGGTGTTCTTCACCGTCACCTTGACGTTTAAAGTCCTTAAATGTTTTCAGTGTATGCAAATGAGCCCAGTGTGACTGTGGCGTCTCCACTAATTAACACAAGAAATGACATTCCTACATTTCACTGTAAAGGTCATATAAACAATTTAGCAGGTTTTTTTTCACCCCTGGGAGGATTTGTTGTAGCAAACATAACATTTTCCTCCCAGGAACGTCAGCGGATTTCACTCTTGGTTTCCCTTCATGTCGTCCCATGTCAGCCAATTTTGCCATCGCACCCTAGGCTAACTTAGCGCTACCTCAAGTGGAGACACTGAAAATTATCGTTTAGGATGCTAAATATTTGCTTGTCATTTAAACTGAAAATAGAGTATTAAAAATAACTTGGGCTAATCCTGTAAAATCAATAGTATCCTTCTTGGCTTGACATTTTATAGCAAAAAATATGATGTTTAAAGATGATCATCTCGGGGACTGGTCCAGCGCAGGAAAGGACTTAATGGGACCTTTACACTCTAGTGTAACATAGTCAAAATCAATCTGGTTCCTCCATTGCGATAGTGCTGACAAGGAGCATGTACCGTACTCCTATCTTTATTTCTTTCTGACCTCTCACCACTGCTTCCTCAAATTGCGGATCGCCTTCAAAATCAATACCGGTGCTTGTGGTGACGCATGGTAATAATAATAGCCAGAAAAATGTCGTGAATGTTTAAAAATGATGTCTGCTTGAGCGTAGACTGTGCAGAATATTACTGATGACTGTTACCATGTCGGGCCTTCCTGTAGCTAATCAAAAGCAATAGCATTGGTGCGATGACATTTAAACCTCAATACAAGGAACGTGGGGGATGTGTGTCCTCTCTTGATGTGTTTTGTTCAGCTTTAATAATGATGTTTTCTGTCTTTTAGCTTGTAGCCTCTTTGTCGGCGCGGGGGGTATTGCTGATGCTGTAGTCATGGCGATGGAAGCGTCCAAGCGGGTGTCGTCGTGGTCGGTGCAAGATGTGCTGGAGTGGATTGAAAAGTGCTATCCCAGCCTCGTAGGTGTGCTCCACAAGGCTGTGATGAAACATGCCATATCAGGTATTTTCATCAAAAATGTCCCCAAAAAGATATATTTTTTGTTTTATTTTGTGTTATTTAATTTTAGTTTTTGCTGAAAAAAAAATGCGTTTGAAATACGGCACAAATCTGCTGAACAGAAAACCAATATCAAGTGCAAGAACTCATTGTGTATTTTTTTTTCACAAAAATTAACTCACTCAAAACTTTAATCTTCTTGTGGGACAATGTTTTTCCTCCATATCATTCAAAATCCGTTGAAAATATTGGGCCCGCTCGAGTTGTATAGAGCAGTAAAAGACAGTGAGCATAATTAAGCCAAGATTGCCATCTGGTGGTGATTAGTGATATTACAAATTGACACTACAGTTGATCCTGATATACTCGCGATTCAACACACGCAGATTCTCAAAGTCGCTGTTTTTTTTTCTTTCAATATTTGTTTTTTTTTTTCTCCATTTCCCCCCGTTTTTAATGGCAAACCATTTTTGAATGTTAAGCCGTATTTTATTTTATTTTTTTAAGATTTCACTTTGTAAAAATAGTAAATATGAAATTTTCCAGGTTGACATTCCGCAGAAAATTTTGAGATTGAATGGTAAATCACATCTCGGAGGTTATTAGAATGATAAGTTGTGTGGTGTAGGTCGGGCGCTGCTGAGGTTGCGGGAGCACCACCTGCACCTCCTTGGCGTGGACTCGGAGGATCAACAACAGGAGATGTTGCAGGACCTCCTCCTCCTCAGAGTGCAGGAGGAGGTGGGAGAACTGGACGACATATGCTCAGGTGAGCTCGCTTATGAATGAAGGTGCTCAAGGTCCTGGGGACAGGGGTGGGTAACTGTGTGGGCCTTGTTTTTGCCATGTCCCAAATTAGGAAACCTGAAATGGCGAAAATCTTTGTTGCAATCATATCGTCATGGTTATGACATCATGTTCAGTCTTTGCATGTTTCCAGCAATAGTCCTCAAACATGTATCCAGGAATATATTTCAAAAAACAAATATTTGATTTGACCCCCCCCCCCCCGACCCCACCTTTAAGAAAGCAAGTTCTAATTTCCTCTTCTCTTTTGCAGAGTGTTTCCCGGTATAGCAGATGTTCATTTTTAATTCCGGCTCCAGCCCATTCCATCCATTTTTCATCCAGTCACTCCATCCGTCGACTGACAAGGCGGGGGTGACGGACATCTTAGCTGGCGAAGAAGAATCGATGACGAGTGGAAAAGGACATTTCCTGTGCGAAACGTGAGCCTGGCAGATGTTATCAAAATTCTTTGTATTTTTCATCCTTTTGTTACTGTGCGATGAAGTGGGACAACCAAGTGGTCGCAAACATTTACAACATGTCACATTTTTATGAACTGGGGCGGGGCACATGGATTATTTTTTTCATAACGGGATTTGACAAAGGATAAAAATGGCATCTCTTCCTTCCATTTTGACACCTTAATATCATTTTATATCAAACGCTTCACAGCGGAAGTATTAAATGTGAAGGGAGGAGGAGGACATATCATATGGATGAATTAGAGGAGGACGGATGACATTAATGAAGTGTCCCAGTGCAGGGACGCCGATCGATCAGTGTTTGGACCTCGCCAATCATCCGTCAATTTACACTAATTAGACGAGGAGCTTACACAGCATTAATAGATCATATCACTCGTAGGCTGGCCACAGACAGACTGCTGCAAATTTCCAATGAATTTCCAAATAGGACCTCGTGGATGTCTGACTTGAAAAGTTTCTCCATGCAGAGTTATCTAAAGCGGTTCATTTTAGTTGACGTAACCGCAAAGAAGAAGAAGAAGAAGAAGCGAGGAAGGCAATTACGCTCAATTTGATCTCCATTTGGACTTTCTGGGCGAAAAGCGATGATGCTCATTTGTATCAAAGATTCATTTCTTACTCGGACGTACCGAGCGGTCGCAGATTTATTGCACTGCCGCCGGTCCGATCAATAATAACAGCCGCCCCCCCTCCCTCATCGGAATTCCAATAGTGCGGTGAATTACGAGGAAACTAGCATATGACGGGAATGCATTTTTGCCTGTGTGTCCTTTGCTATGCTCTATCTTAGCTCCACTAGAGTATATGTCCGTGTTATAGCTGTCAAATGGCAACATCCAAATAGAAATGCAGGGGTTTCTGTGAAGGACTGGCTATGTCCTACAAGCGACAGCAATTCTCTTATCGCTTTCGTCTCAAAAACTGTTCGAGGAGGCTGCAAAGAGTGCGCCATTAAAAAAGGAGTGTCCTGAATTTTCTGGCAATTACTGGCTGTTTTCCTACACGTGACCAAAATCTCCCCTATGCCTCATGACTGGCAAGTCCAAATGCTACTCATTACAGCAATTTCCCATATTTTTCATTTCTGTCCAGTACTGGCAATGTCCTATATAAGACAGCAATCTCCCATATTCTTGACATCGAAAAGTGCTCATGGAGCTTGGGAAGAGGTCAACAATAATATCAACAAGAGGCTGCAAAGCTTTCTTGGCTGTGTCCTACATGTGACATCACAACAATGTCCCCCCTGTATTATTCATATGAAAACAATAAAACTGCTGGAGGAGACGGAGGAGCCCCACAGCAACATCAAAGGAGAAGTGGCAATTTCTGGCTCGTAGCGACGGTCCCGACACATGACAACAGTCTCCCAACTCTGGGGTGACGAATACAATTCTCAAAATAAAAACGAATGAAGTCAGGCGTGAGTACAGATATCACGTTGATGGCTTTGATGACATGTGAGGGGGGTCACGAATCATTCTCGCCAAGCTAATTCCTCCCTCCTAGGGAATGCGCGAGGCGTCATTCGCGTGGATAAATATGGCATGAATATTTCAGCACGGTTAGGCGGTGAAGCGCAGCCGTGACTATAAATCAACATGCGTGTGCGTCCGTGCCCGTGCGTGCTCACGCGCTATTAAAACATTAACACTGACGGGGCGACAGGCGGCAGCGTACAGGAGGGACTTTTGGATAATTGAAATGCCCCAAAGAAGCCCGGAGACTCTTCTGCTCCTCCAACCCTTCTTCGTGGAGATGAGGTTTACATTAACAAGAACAAAGAGCTGCAGGAACTTGTGGAAGTTATCGGACGCATTGCAAGTGACGAAATGAAAATCAAGTCTTCACATCCTTCTTAAAAGAAGCTGAAGAGATTTCAGGCAACCGCTGGCAGTGCCCGAAACATGACAGTATAAAGTGCGAAGAGATTTCTGGCAAGTACTGGCTGTGCAGCAATCTCCCATAATTCAACTGAAACGTGTTCATGAAGGCTGCAAAGAGGCCTACAGCAACATTATCAAATCGCAAGCTGTGCCCCACAAGTGACGCAATCCGAAGTCGCCACAAGAGGGCGATGTTGAACCTGTGAAGCGGTTGTCATCCGTTTAAATCACAAGTGACGTGAAACTTGGAACCATGCAAAGCGCAATCAGAACTTGAACGAATAAGGCCATAAAGAGAAGTTGATGCAAAAATCCTTCCAGATAGTTGCCTACCTAAGCATCACCTGCAGGAAAGTCGTTAAATGTCTTATTTTTTGCGCCTAAAACAAATGGCACCCACTCTCCCAATCATCGGCTTCATTATCAACATTTAAGTTGATAACATGAGAACGCCAACTCGTTTTGGTCATCATCGAAGTAAGCTGTGCTAACCTGCCAGACACTCTTAAATGCACAGAAATTTTCACGGAGTTTGGTCGGAAGGGCCGTCGTGTATATGAAGTAAAGTCCGACACAAAAACGGTGCAAATTCACTCGCATCGCACCTCCCGTCTCCTTGCACACGTGCTTCGGTGGGGAGGGGGGGGGGCGATGGGGTGGTGGGTGGGTTGGTGATGTTTGCAGCGCCGATCCAAAAGAGTACTCGCGCGCATGTGCGCA